AAAAAAAAAAAAAAAAAAAAAAGAAGGATTCTGGTTTTGGTGCTCAAACTAGAGCTTGGGCTGACTAATCTCCATTACTTCATCAAACAGCCATAGGAGGCTCCCTCTCAGAGGGTTTTCCCTAGTACTACCTACGGAAATAAGCCTCCTCTTGTGATCCTTAGTTTATTCATTCAACAAACCATTTATTCCTCATTGACTATGTGTCAGCCAAGTCTTGGGAACCCCATTATAATCTCCAGGGGTTTGCTGCTGGAGGAAAAGGCAATGCAGAGTTCTACTTCCCTCTGATAATTGTCCCTCTTGCCTGCATTGGCAACCTGACAGGTTGGGGAGTTAGAGACATGCCAACCTGTGGTTAATAAATTATTTCTTTTGTTTAGGGAGATGGGATTTTTAAGATGAAGGCAGAAATAGTGGTAGGACCAGGTAGCCCCTTATGTGCTATCTTCTGGACTCTGGACTTTGTTGTAAACATGGCCTGGAGGAGACCACAGTAAAGGAGGAGGGCCAGCTGGGGAGCTATGACAACCAGGCAGAGTAGCCAGAGGGCAGAGATGAAGAAAACAAAGCAAAATAAACCCTTCATCCTGGGCCTGTGATCCTAGCACTTGAGGCAGGTGGATTGCCTGAGCTCACAAGTTTGAGACCAGCCTGAGCCAGAGCGAGACATTGTCTCTAAAAATAGCCAGGCATTGTGGCAGGCACTTGTGGTCCCAGCTACTTGGAAGGCTGAAGCAAGAGAATTGCTTAAGCCCAAGAGTTTGTGATTGCTATGAGCTATGACACTACAGTACTCTACCTAGGGCAACAAAGTGAGAATGTCTCAAAAAAAACAACTAAAAAAAAAAAAACCTTTGTCTTCTCAGGGGATGGAGAGTTACATAATACTGATGTTTAAAAAAAAAATGCTTGATAGGTCCTAGCACTTTGGGAGGCCAAGGCAGATGGATTGCTTGAACTCAGGAGTTCAAGACTAGCCTGAGCTAGAGCAAGACCCGGTCTCTAAAAATAGCCAGGCACCTGTAGTCCCAGCTACATGGGAGGCAGAAGCAAGAGGATCGCTTGAGCCCAGGAGTTGCTTGAGGTTGCTGTGAGCTATGATGCCACAGTACTCTACCTAGGGCAACAAAGTGAGACTCTTGTCTTAAAAAAAAAAAAAAAGAAAATTTTTTTTTGGTTAAAATTGATAAACTATGAAACCAGAAATAGAACATAAAACTTCCAAATCACTAGCTGAAACAGAAGCAGAGTAACATTGTTTATTCCAACCAAAGTCAGGATCAGGGATGAGGAGGAAAATCAAGGAGCATAACAGGACTTTCCCTTTTGCATAGAACATAGAAGTTTGCACCTGCTGAAAGTTCTGCTGCAACAAATAGAAAATACCAGAAAATTTACACCCTGAAGTAATAATTTTAAAGTCATTGGATAGCCATAGAAATAATTCCAGCAAGGAGAGAGCCCTTCAGTAATAAGTTGACAATGTCTGTGACTCTTTCCTCCTCCCACCCCGAAGCACTCAAGTGCCGGGTTTCCAGTATCAAGTATGAGGGTAGAAATTGATTCCTCTGTGTTCCCAGGATCTTTAGTAGAGTTTTTCTCCCAGAGCTTCATTGATGTCTGGCAATTGGGACATTTAACCTTATTTTCAGCAACTCCCTCCCACAGACAGCTAAGTGGAGCAGCAGTACACTTGGTTGTTTCCCCAGTGGAAGGCAGGAACTTGCCAGGCCCGTTAGTACACATAACATTCCCCAAAACCTATTTGAAAAAGCACCAAATAGAAATTCTAGAACTATAAAATAAAATAACTGAAATTAAGAGCTCAATGGATGGTTCAACAACAGATTAAATTTCTAGAATCAAATATAAAGAGACCAAAAAATAGAAAATAGACAAAAAAGGAGAAGAGACAGAGAGGATACAGTGAGAAAATTTAAAATATGTTCATTTAGAATATGCAAAAGAGAGGAGAATAAAATATGCCCAAGATAACAAAGAGAAAAGAATTGAGAACTTCGTGGAACTAATTAAAGACATTAATCTACTGGGCAGCACCTGTGGCTCAGTGGGTAGGGTGTCGGCCCCATATACTGAGGGTGGTGGGTTCAAACCTGGCCCCAGCCAAACTGCAACAAAAAAAATGCTGGGCGTTGTGGCAGGTCCCTGTAGTCCCAGCTACTTGGGAGGCTGAGGCAAGAGAATGGCCTAAGCCCAGGAGTTTGAGGTTGCTGTGAGCTGTGTGACACCTCAGCACTCTACCAAGAGTGATAGAATGAGACTCTGTCTATGCAAAAATAATAAAATAAATAAAGACATTAATCTACAGATACAAGAAGACTCCAGCAGAATAAATATAAAGAAATCCACATCTAGAACATCATATAAAACTATAGAAAATCAAAAGACAACAAGAAAATCTTTAAAGCATCCAAAGGAAAAAGACAAATTTCTTCCAAAGGAACAGCTAATAGCTGACTTCTCAAATGAAAAAATGAAAGCCAACAAAATACATTTCAAAAGAAAACTACCAACCTAGCATTCTTTTTTTTTTTTTTTTTTTGTAGTTTTTGGCCAAGGTCAGGTTTGAACCCACCACCTCTGGTATATGGGGCTGACGCCCTACTCCTTGAGCCACAGACACCATCCCCAACCTAGCATTCTTAATCCTATGAAAATATCCTTTAAGCATGAAGGTGAAATTTGAAAAGGCTAGAGCAGGCATCCTCAAACTACGGCCTGGGGGCCACATGCGGCCAGCCTAGGACATTTTTAGGGCCCACCAGGTGTTTTTGCTGCCGCTGCCTGTCTGGCTTAGCAGCCGACTCGTCCCAGGGCCCATAGTCCGGCCCTCCCACAGTCCGAGGGACAGTGAACTGGCCCCCTGTTTAAAAAGTTTGAGGACCCCTGGGCTAGAGACAGTAAGAAGGTCAGTAGTTGCCAGAAGCTAGGAGGAAGAAAGGATAAATGGAAGGAAGGATTTGGAAGCAAATTATTCTATATGATATTACAATGGTAGATACATATCATACATTTATCAAAACCCACAGAATGTACAATACCAAGAGTGAACCCTAATGTATACTTTGAACTTTGGGTGATAATTTCAATGTAGTTTCATCAATTATAACATATGTACCACCATGTGCAGGATGTCAATGATGGGGGGCAGACGGTATATGGAACTCTCTAGGTACTTTCCACTCAATTTTGCTGTGAACATAAAATCTGCTGTGAAACATAAAGATTATTAAGTAAAAAGAGAGTGATGGGGTGACACCTGTGGCTCAGAGGAGTAAGGCACCGGCCCCATATGCCAGAGGTGGTGGGTTCAAACCCAGCCCTGGCCAAACAAAAAAAAAAAGAGAGAGAGAGAGGGATGGTAAAATATAGACATTTTAAAGCAAACAGAAACTGAGAGATTCTTCATGAGCAGAAGCACACTATGGTATTTCTTTCATATTTGTTTGTCGTAATGTACATGACATGAGGCCTAGAATGTTCTCCTGAAAAGTGAGAACAAAAAAAGGAGAATAGGGGGAAAAGAGAGAGAGAACAAGTATGGCAAAATGTTGATGGTTGTTGAACCTGGGTGATAGGTACATGGGAATCTGCTGCACTGTCCCCATTTAGTATATTTTGAAATGTTTATAATAAAATATTTTAAAACTAGGTCAGTATAATTTTCCACATTAAGAAAGGAAGAAAAATCATAATCATTTCAATAAATGTAGAAAAATTAATATATATCCATGATCTCAAAAAATACCTCATAGCAAACTACGAATAGAAGTAAA